TAGCAATATTTCCTTTTAATTAAGGCACACACATTGTTTTATAGACACAATGTTACTGCACACTTCATAGACTTCAGTATCGTGTGGACATAACTCTGACATGCACTGGGAATAAAAAAAAAAAATTTATCCGACTCGCTTTATTGCGTTATTTGCTTTACTGCATCGGTCTGGAACAAAACGGACCCTATCTCCAAGGTGTGCCTGAATACTTTTAGGAGGTACGTATGAGAAAACTGCCCCCACAGGAAAGCAGGGAGTGATGAAGACAGGATTCGAGGCAGAGGTGGGATGGGGGTACCTCGGGATTAGATGTTGGTGTTGGCCATTGTGAGGGCCGTAGTTTTTGATTGATGGGCTATGGGGTATCTATTACGTGATTATAGTTCTTTTAATTATGGACATTTTTTTAAAAGAGCAGGTCATGCATAGACCAAAGAGAATACACTGTGGTTTGTATTATAGTGTACCCGTAATTCTATGTACCTTAAGTTCATGACCTGACTTGTACCTGTCCAGCTCATGCTGTCTCCCCAGCTGCCAGCACAGGGCTCAGCACATAGTAGGTGCCCAACAATGACTGGGTGGACGAATGATTTAGTGAATGAGGGATTAACGGGCTCCAGCAGTCAAGTGTGTGGGGGACAGGGTGAATGCCACAGATGGAAACATCAGGCAGCCCAGGGAGGGGTATAGGTGTGAGCTGATCCCCTTCCCTTGGTCTGGTCCTCATCACAGTGACACCACGGACCCCAGGAATGAAGACCAGAGCTGACCCAGGCCCTACGCAACCCATGACCACCCAGAGAGAGTTTACTTGTGGAAACAGGAGCCCGGGGGCTATCTCGGTCTCCCAGCCAGGGCTCTGCCAGGGCCCTGCAGTCTGGGGATGGTGGGGTGCCTGAGCTGTGAGCAGTACAGCTCCAAGAGGCGCCCCACCTCATCCAACCATCTGCCACTGGCCCCAATGCTTCCGTGTCCCCATACCCCCTCTACTCCCATCATACACTGCTTCGAGGTAACTCACTTTTTTTCCCCCTAAATAGATTGATTTTAAAAAAGGAATGGCTATGTCACCACCATAAATGGAAAAGCGATACCTGTGCCACAAGTAGAAGGTGACTGTAAACATAAACAGGCAGAAAAACAACAGGTTGTGAAATTCTAGATCCAGAGTGTAGACAGAGCAAGATTCGGAGCCCAAGGCCTGCTCTCCCCTGGCTGGCAGGGGCTGAGCCAGCGCCCGGAGGGATGTCAACGCTGCAGAACAGTAAAGGAAGCTTTCTCCCCTTCAAGGAGAATTGCTGTGTGATTCAGAGCTAGGTGCCACCTTCTCTGGCACCCACCCTAACCTCACCCTCCAGGACTCACCAGTGGGTCGACTCTCAGCCTCTGGGAGACTCCCCTCTGGCCAAGCAGTTTTCATTTTGGTTTGAGGCCTGGAATCCTTATTGAGATAAAGTGGGGGAGCCTCGGGAGCAGAGGCCGGCCCGGGCTGAGAGCGGTGGCTAGGCAGGGAGACCCTCCCCAGCAAGCCCCTCCTTTGCTCCAGCCCCCCCCCCCCCCCCCCCCCCCCCCCCCCCCCCGGGAGAAGCAGGTATAGGGCCCGGCTGGCATGGGGCAGGCCCAGCTGGGTCCCAGCAAGCCCCAGGGAGCCAGGGTGAACTCATCCCTCGCCCTTAATTATCTTCCTGGCTACTGAACTTGTGAGATGCTCCATGCCATCAACAGGGAGGACCCCTGGGATGCTCAGGGCTGGGAGGTTCTAAGGGCCAGATGTCACCTCAGAGGGAGGTGGCAGGGGCCCTGAGAGAGGAAATGGGCTTGGGGAGGGGAGCTCTGCTTCCTGCTTCTTCTCTGTAGGGGAGAAAGCTGGGGCCAGGCAGGCAGTTGAGAGTCGAGGTTAAGGGCAGGACTCTGCAGCTTACCATATGGGGATAAAACCAGGCTCAGAGCTCAGCACTTTGGGTGACCTCTAGTGAGTGCCATAGCCCCTCGGGGCTCCAAGTGTGGTTCACAAAGCACCGGGAGCTTGTGAGGAATGTAGAACCTCAGGCCTAGACCTACTGAGACAGAACCTGCATTTCAACAAGACCTCCAGGGGGTTTCTGTGCCTCAGTTTCCCCATCTATAAAATAGGATTAAAATGTGTTTGTGCCTATGTGGTGCTTGCTGTCTGCTATTATCATCACTTAGCATTCTTGTTATTGAAATAACTCACTCTGGGCAAGATGGAGGCTGGTCGCAGGTTGCCTACTCCCAGCCCCCAACACCTCAGCATCCCACAGGTGGGTTTCATGGGACAAGAAGCCTGGGGCTCAGACAGATGCAGTGACTTGCCCAAATTCTACATGGGGAAGCCCAAGTTCACTCCACACCTGTCTGACCCTGTTACTAATGTTAACAGTGAGTAGGGAGGATTGCATCCTCTACACCAGGCACTTGGTGGAACTCCCAACCACCCCATGATGGTGACCTTACTCCCGCCCCCAACTTCAGATGATAATGAGGGACAGAGAGGGCTGGCTGCTTTTCCAAAGCTACTGGGCAGGAAAGGCTGGATCTGAGCCCCCTCTATGTCAAGTGGCATTCCCCACCCCCCCCCCCACCCTACCCCAACACACACACACACACACACACACACACACACACACACACACACACAGTATCCCTGCCTCTCCAGTCATCTGCCAATCCTGGCTCTGGGGTTCTGAGCCTGCCCCTCCCACGTCCTCACCACTAATGAGGTCTTTGCCAACCTAACGCTGGGAACTCGGAGAGCTCTGGAACTGGCTCCGTGGGAAGAACCTGCTTCCCCCTGCTCTGGGCTCCCAGGTGTGGATGGCCGGAGGGGAGCCTTTGAAGGCAGGGCTGGGCAGAGCCAGGAGCGGGCACTGTACTGAGATGCTGGATCTGGCCTCAAGGATAGCTGGCCTGGAGCTGGGCTTCCCTCTGCTTCTCTGTCTCCCACTCCTGCTTAACCTCCAGCTCACTGTCGGCACCTGGCCCCACCTTGGCTAGGGTGAAGCTGGGCCAGGCCCGGAGGTCTACAGTGTGATCGCTCACTCACTCACCATCCCTGGAGTCAGGATCTACTGTGTGTCAGATACTGTTTTGCAGACGCGGCAATGCACAGAACAGACCCAAGCCCGGCGGGAGAGACACACCAGAAGTTAGTCACACGCCCTCACAGTGCATGGAGAGGGAGAATAATGGAGGGGACTGCTCTTGGGTGGATATCTGGGAGATGAAGGGCAAGAATGTTGCAGTGGGACTAAGCGGGGCTGGCCAAGTTCGGGCTGCAGGGCAGGGGTGGGGGAAGGGAGCAGCTTGGTGCAAACGAGAAGGGGAAGAGGCCAGCCGTGCTGGAGCGGGGAGAGTAAGCAGGACCTGGCCACCAGGCCTTATGAGCTGGGCCCTCCAACTTCTCCCAGAGGCTTTGCTTGAGGCTGGGAAAGGCACTGACGGCAGATGAACACTCAGCTCCCAGGATGATGGCTCTACCTGTATTCCCCCTGCCTTCCTAGCTGTGGAGGACTTGGGCACAGAGGCCTTCAAAGGACCCATTCTCACCCCTCCTGAAGGCCCCAGCTGGCCACAAAGGGGCTGTCATCTCTCTGGACTGCCTTCCTGGGAGGACAGGTGGGGATTGGTGCACTAACAGGCACCTTGGTGTGTCCAGGCTACAAAGCCTGGCCTGGAATTCTGCCTCCATTACGAGGAGGCTACCGTGGTACTTCAGCATTCTGGAGCCTCGGGTTCCTCATCTGTAAAATGGGTCGAGTGGATAAAATGTGTTGAGCCATAGTGCAGCGCGTGGTGGGTGGGGGACATAATCACGGACTTACTACGTTAAAGAGCCATGATCATAAGCGGCCAAGGGGCTGCAAATTGCCCGCAGCCCCAGCCGGCACCTGAAGGAGAGCTCGGTGCCGGGAGGGTCCTTGTTGGTCCTGTTCATAGCTGCTCCTCGGCCACCGGCGAACCCGGCACCTGGTGGGTGTTCCTCAGAGTGGAGTGAACTGACGCACGAGTGTGGAACGAATGCATGAACGAACGAATGAATGACCTGCTCCGTCCCCAAACTAGGACGTTCAACTCCAAGGTCCCGGCTCTCCCTGCCCCCGCCCAGGGTTCCGCAGCTCCCCGTTTCCAGACAACACTCCTACCTGCGGCGCGCCTCAGTTTCCCTCTCTATGAGTGAGCGGGAATCACGGCAACCTCGGGGAGTTGGAGGGCGGGCTGCCGCCGGCGCCCCGCACCCACCGGCGCCCAATCCGCGCGCTGCCAGGCCGCGTCCGCCCCCCGCCCCCAGGGCCGCCAGCTGCACGCAGCCCCCGCCCCGCCGGGGCCGCTTCGGCCCCGCGCGCACGTGACCCCGCCCCGCCCCGCCGCCCCAGCGCGGGCTTCCATTGGCCGCTCCGAGCGGGCCACGCCTCCGGCCGGGGCGGAACCGGAGATGCCCCGCCCGCCGCAGAGCGGGGCTCCTGCGTCCCGACCGTGCACGGCGGACGGACCGGGCTGGCTGGCAGGCGGAGCCGGGCCCGCGGGGCTGCTGCGGGGCGGTCGGGCCGGGCTGCGGGCGGCGCAATGGTGAGCAGAGCCCGGCGGGCCGGGCGCTCGGGCCGGGCGGGGGCTCAGGGGAGGGGAAAGAGCGGCCCCCGGTGGGCTGGGGGCGCGCGCGGGGAGGCTCGCCCGTGGGCCGTGGTGGGGGGTGGGGGGTGTCTTTGCGGCGGGGGAGGGGCAGCCCGGGCGGGGGCGCGGCTTCGGGAGGAGGGTCTGTTCCGGGGGGCCGCGCCCGCGGGCGGGGGTTCTTTGTCCGCTGCGCTGCGGCGAGATCTGGACAAAGGAGGCGGCGGGGGGCGGCGGCCGCTTTGCGGGGAGCGGGTGTCTCCCCGCCCCCCCCCCCCAGTGCCAGCCCGCCACCGCGGCCCGCAGTTCCGCTCCCCAGGCCGGCCGCTGGAACGGGTCCTCGGGACGCCTCGGGGTATTTAAAATTAACGTAGGAGGCGGGCGTCCTAGCATCCCCCAGGGTGGTCCGGCGGACTCTGGGGGTGAGGGGTAGGAGCGCGGGTCGTGGCGACGTCTGGAGCCCATTTCGCAGGTGGGGAACTGAGGACGGGCCGCGACGTTTGGTGCCGAGTTTCGTCGGCGGTGACTGCGCGGCGTGGGCATGATTGGGTATCGTGGTACCCCGTCCTCCCGCCCCCCTCCCCGCCCCAGTCGGGCCGGCCGGAGTTGCTTCTCCAGCTGTCGCTCCCCCTCCAGCCATCGCCCGGGGGGGCTGAGCCCCTTCCTTCCTCTAGCCTCGCTCAGCTCCTTGGTAGAGTGGGGGAGACGGCGTCTCCTGGCAGGGTTAAATGAGAGGGTGCGTGGAGCTCGCCTGGCACCGCGCCTGCACGTCGCCCGCGCTCAGCACGCGGTAGCTGCCCGGGCGCCTGTCATCCCTGTGTACCCAGCATCGAGCCCTTGTCACTCAGCCTGCCCCGGCGGGGGCTGCAACGGGGTTTACCAGGCTCCTGGGCCTGAAGCAGGGGAGTAGGGAGGTGGGGATCAAGAATATGACATTTTTATGTCAGGGTTGAAATCTGGCATTTGGAATCCAGGCTGCCTGGGTTTGATTCCCTGGGCGGCTACTTTTGAGCTGTGTGACCTTGGGCAATTGACTTAACTTCTCTGAGCCACAGATTCTTTATCTGCAAAGTGGGCTTAATGATAACCCTATGGTTGTTTGAGGGTGGAAGGAGAAAGGATCCGTGTGAAGTGCTCAGCTTCTCTGTGTTTGGCACATAGACTATCACTGGCAACTTTCGTTGGGCATCTTCTGTTATTACCAAAGTTGTTTGGCCAAGTGGGTTGACCCTGTGAGAATGGCGAGTGGCTGATTCACAGGGTGGGGGCATGAGCCGCAGGCCTGGGCCCCAGGAGACCCAGACTGACCTTGGGGCAGTCCCTGGGCTCAGTCTGCACCAGCTTCCTCTTCTGCCTTCAGGGACCCTCGGGGGTTTCTGGTGCGAGCTTCCTCTTTTGGAGGATGGGGTGTGATTGGGTGGGTGATGGGAGGCGGAGAGGACCCTGGCTATATATATATGGCTGTCCACAGCCTCAGCCCTGTGATGCTTTTTCCCATCTGCATCCGTGCTGTTCTAGGGCAGGATCCTTGTGCCATGCGTCCTTGGGTCCCAGCTCCTGCTTGGACCTGGCCCAGAGAAGACGTCCCATCTGCATCTTGACTGTGCCCAGCAGTATCTTGTCCACCCTCTACCATACTATGTTCCTAATCAGAAACCAGGCAGGAGATGTTTCTGGTGTGTGAGCTGGGGTCCCCTGAAGGGGCAGAGCCTGGCTTGTTGGCACACCTGGCAGATGTCTTTGTTGCCCAAGGGCATGGCTTAACCCCTGGGGGCACTGCTGCAAAGCCCCGCTCCTCCGATCCCCGGGGAGGGGTTGGCTATCCTGTAAATAGGGTAGTTCCAGGTAGAGGGTGGGAGTGGTGAGCTGGTGTCCTGCTGGGCACGGTGACACTAGTGATATGCCCAGTTAAGCAGGAAGGTGGCAGGTGGCCTTGAGGAAGAGGCTGTTTCTGGTGATGGGCCTGGACTGGGCTCTCTACCCTCCTGGGAGGCAGGTCCTTGGTGGTGGGAGGCGGAGGTGATGCTAAGGGCTCACTGTCCTCCCTGTGGCACCAGGAAGGTGTGGCGCCCGGTGACATGCAAACCCAGTGCCTCCCCACCCCCCCCAGTTCCATTTCCACATTTCTTATCACTGCGTATCCTCCCCGTAGCCTGGCTGGAGAGGTGAGGGCCTGAGCACGTACTTTGCACACCGAGACACCAAGGCCATGAGGAGCAGTTTACTGGGACAGCCCGGAACAACTCACTGTTCACTGTAGGGGCGGGAGGTGGGCTGGGGAAGTGGGGGGGAAGTGGGGGGCTTTGAATCTGCTCTCTTGCTAGCTGCGGTCCCCACGGGGCCTGAGTGGGTCATGTCACTTGTGGACTGGGGTTAAGGCTCAGTTTCGGGGTCTCATAAAGAAGAGGTAACTGGAACCCAGTGTTACACCGGGGAAGACCTAAGCTGGGAACTCTGAGGGTCAGCAGGCCAGTGGAAGGCATCTGTCTACCCTCAGCTGGCTGGTGGCTGAGGTGGGGACTGTCCTTTTGAACCCACTGGTGGGCAGAGGGGGCGGGGAGTGAGGAGCCCGGTGGGGCAGCCTCAGCAGACTGGCAAGGCTGGGCTGTAGAGCTTGCTTCTCCAGGACCTGCGGGTGAGATCCGAGGTCAGGCCACCCTTGGCCCAGGGAGGCAGGACTGAGGGTCCACATAATGGGGGGGCGGAGGATCGGTCCTGTATGTTTTGGGGATCCAGATGGCCTCGGGCCTCCAATGCTAGCCTTCACCCTAACTGAGGGGCCGGCCAGGAGCTGCTGCAGAGGTTGGGGTGAGGGCATATGTTCTGTTGCCCACCCCAGAGCACCCGGAGCTGCAGGCCCCTTCCTTTGCTCTTTTGGGCTGCACTTCTGGGGTCACATGCTGCATTCTGCCTTTTCACTCTCGGGCAATGCACACAAACTCTCTGTGCCTCAGTTTGCTTATCTGTAAAGTGGGACCGATACCAATGAGCAGTGTTCGCCACAGGGTTCTTGGGAGGATGAAGCGAGTGTATGGAATGAGTGTTAAGCGACTGTGATGATTGTTCTCAGCGGGTGCTGGTTTCTCGCAAGCCATCCTGGGTGTCGACCCAGCCCGGAGCTGTGGCCGTCCCTGTCCCACCCTGGGCGTTTGCCTGGATCAGGGTGAGGGGGTTAGCTGACTTACAGGAGAAACGTGGCTCAGACGGGCATGAGGGACATCAGGAGAGGCAAACCAAGTGGGTAGGTTCCAGCCTGGGCCACAGGGGGTCAGGGGGAACCAGCCAGCCACCCTCATACTTCAGACATCCCCTGGGGTCTGGTTCCCAGAGGCGCCCTCCTCTCCCTGCCTCCTAGCACATGGAGACAGCTGCCCCTTCATGGGCTCGGGCCTGTTGGGAATCCACCTGCCCTCACACTCGGGCTGCCAGCTTTCTGGAGTCTCTTGGGACAGGTGTGTGGACCCTTGCAGAGGGGTCCTGGGACTGGCTTTGGGTTGGAGAGCGGGCTCAGGGGTGAGAGCTGCTGGCCACGATCCCCATGAAGGCTGGGGCTCCTCTAACTCATCACTAGGTCTCTGGGCTTGAAACACTCAGCTGTCATTTATCGAGCATTATCACAGGGTTGGGGATCACCGTGGTCACAGTGGTGTGCTGCAAGGCGATGGCAGGTGTGGGGTGGTGGGGCGTCTGGAGCCAGGGTGGTCTGGGAAGGAACCCCACCCCCATCCCCCACAGGCACCCATGGAGAAAGTCCCGAATGATAGGAAGGAGCCAGTCATGGGACAGTCAGGGGATAACATTCCAGGCAGAAGGAACAGAAAATTCAGAGGGTTTGAGGTGGGAGGGCAGGAAGGGTGTGAAGAAGCCCGGGGAGGCAGGGAGTTCTGCTCCTCTGCTGAGGCCAGGGCGGGTTCTGAGCAGTGGATGATGTGAGCTGATTTTTTTAAACCATCATCTTGGGAAATACTTGCTGAGCAAATTCGGGGACAAACAGCGCACTTGGGGGCAGGGGAGGGTGGTGCCAACGAGCACAGGCCAGGTGTGCCCATGGCTCCGTGCACTTGGGGATGAGTGTCCTTCTGGCCTAGGGGGAGGGCAGCAGACAGGGTTTTGAAGTCACCAGTCCCCTCAAAGTGTCCCTTTGAGCTGGGGCAGCCTCTGCCTCAGTTTCCCCATCAGTCCTAGGACCATGTGGCTTCCCCCTGGACTGGTAGGTGCCTCCTAGGTTCTGTGGCAGGTTTGGCCCCTAGGGTTCCCCCCTACCTCAGGTCTTGCCACTGGTATTTGATTTCCTACTTCCTGCCCCCAAACACACACATACTTCCCCTTCTGAATTGATACTGCGTTGCCTTCCTGTCTGGGGGCCTGGTAGATGGGTAAGCACCCTAGCAGGCACTGGACACAAGAGGGCCAAGGGGAAGGACAAGGCAGGTGTCCTCCGTAGCAGGAAGAGAGGTTCACTGGGCACAACTGGCAGGTTGTCGGGGGTGTGGGGGCGTACCTGTCCTTTCTGGAGGCCTGAGGGGTGAGGCAGAGCGGGGTGGTGGGACAGAAGAGGCCAGGATAGCCTGTGCACTTGGCAGCCTAGCAGAGTGCAGGGCCCCTCCAGGAGTGCACAGCCCGATGGGGGAGGCGGGGGCCAACCAGATGGCTGCCAGGGAAGCCAGGGTTACACACTGAAGCAAGTTTCTTGGTCGGTGGTGGGGAGCAGGTGTGGGCACAGGACAAGGATCCCCTCCTGGGCCCAGGTTTGCCGCCCCCCGCACTGTTGGTACTTGGGGCTGGATTCCTGTTAGTGGGGGCTGTCCCCTGCACTACAGGGTGTTTAGTACACCCTTGGTCTCTGTCCACTCCATGCCACTAGAACCCCCCTCCCCCAACTGCCAGCTGTGACAGAGAGACCTGTCTGGCTAAAGGCCTGGAGGTCATTGTGGCCGGGGAGAAGCAGGGGATGGGGATGCGGCCTCTCGGGCCCCGTAGGACTTGAGGCTTTTCCTCTGGGCGACAGGGGCACTGGCTCCAGTGGACCCACATGGGTGGACCAGAGAGCCTCTGGAGAGAGACAACAGCAGCCTGACCCTGCAGGTGGTAAGAAGGGGGTAGACTTCAGGGATATCCCGCCCCCTCTGCCCAGGACGTCTCTGCAGATGTGGGCACGGGTAGCAGGGCTGTACTCAGGGCTGGGGGCGGTGGTGGCTAGTCCCTGGACAGAGTCCAGGGACGTCGACTTAGCTGTCTTTGACCTTCAGGCAAGCCTGGCCTTGGGTAGGCGGAGAGTCTCCTTGGTTTGGGTTATGAATCATTTCTAATTAAGATGGTCATTGCTCAAGGACGCCAGGTTCCTTCCTGTATGGGCGGAAAGCCTTCCCTTCCACCACTCCCTCCCTGGGTCGACGTCCGTCTTTGCAGAGAAATGAATTCAACAGCCAGCTCTTACGGAGTGCTGAGGGTGGCACAGGGTTTTCCCCGCCCTCGAACACCTGGGTGCTCGTTACTGTCATCTGCTACCTGGGTGGGGAGGAGGACAAGTTAGGAAGTGCAGGGTCTTGGGACCCGGGGAGCATGGTTGCCTCAGTCACCTCAGAGTCTGGGTTTTTTTCAGTCTGCTGTGCTGCCCCCTGCTGGCTCTGCGTGGCCGCTCACCGGCCCCGTCCACAGAGGAGGAATCTGAGACCCAGTGAGGTGCAGAGGCTTGTCTAAGATGGGCGGTCGTGAGAAGGTGGTGGTCTGGCGCACGCTTCTGGTGCTCCAGCTCCTGCATTGGCCAGCAGGCCCTTTCCTGCCTCTGAGCCTTCGCAGATGCCATTCCCCTGCCAGGAACGCACCTCCCCAGGGGCTTGCTTGGCTCTTGCTGCTGGTTCTTCCTGCCGGCTCAACCTCGGCCTTACCTCCCCAGGTATCGCCTGCCCCGCCCAACGTAGCGTCTTGGCACCCAGTCCCCTGTGTTTCTGACACGGCACGGATGCATTCGTAGTGACAGGCGTTGGTGTATCGATCTGTTTGCAGTCTGGGTCCTGCCCCTGACGCTGAGCTCGGTGCGGGAAGGGGTCGGTCTGCCCCACTCTCGCCTGCCCTCCCCCACGCTGTCCTGAGTGCATCCTCTTTCCAGGACTGGGCTGCTGAGGGCTCTTCCCTGGCTGGTCACAGTTCCCTTGTGGACAAAGGCTGTCACCGGCTGCACTCTCTCCCAGGTGTTCCAGAAGACTTAGCTGAGTTACCTGTGTCGCATGTCAGAGCGAGGGGCTGAGGTCATGTCCCTGCTTTCGAGTCTCGCGGGTCTGGCCATCACGGAGCACGGGCTCCTCTTGGTCCCTGGGCTTCCGAACACCTCGGCGGGCTGGGCTTTCAGGACAATCCCCTCGAACAGACCCTCTTCCAGCTTCCAGCGGGGCTGCGGTGGGCTTGGAGGTCATGGGCCCCCTTTCCTGCATCTCTGGCTCCCTGGCTGGGCGAGGGTGACTCCTTTTTGGTGGCAGGAGCACCGACAGTGTCGGGGGTAGAGGTGGAAGTGGGCTGTTGGGAGCCAAGAGAACGCTCGTGACGTCCTGAGCTAGGAACGGTGAAAGCCGACCGGCATGTTTTTCGCTAGGACGAGGGCAGGATGGTCAGACTTACTTAAGACCTGATTAAAAAGGTCCCCCAGTCCCGGACCCCCGAGCTTGGCAGCTGTCAGGGCCCCGTGGAACCCCCAGTGGAACCTCACCCTGCTTTGTCTTTCAGGGCTCTCGTGTCCCGCCTGGGTTCCAGCCTCACTGAGCAGACAGCCGCACGCGCTTCCTCCTGCGGAAGCCTCCCCAGGCGCTGACCATGTCTATTATGGACCACAGCCCCACCACGGGCGTGGTCACCGTCATCGTCATCCTCATTGCCATCGCTGCCCTGGGGGCCTTGATCCTGGGCTGCTGGTGCTACCTGCGGCTGCAGCGCATTAGCCAGTCGGAGGACGAGGAGAGCATCGTGGGCGATGGCGAGACCAAGGAGCCCTTCCTGCTGGTGCAGTACTCCGCCAAGGGACCGTGCGTGGAGAGAAAGGCCAAGCTGACCCCGAGCGGCCCAGAAGTCCACGGCTGAGCTGGGATGCGGAGGCCCTGAGGCCTGTCTGCCTCCGGCGGAGAGGCATGGGAGGGGCGACACCACAGATGAGCTGCTGAGGACGGCGCGACACCTGCTGGCATGGCCTCGCTGGGCTTCATCACCGCATGCACTGACTCCCGAGGTCTTGGCTGTCGTCAGTAGCCAGGAGGCGGCGGCCCTGGGTGCCCCTCTGGCCTCCCGGTGGGACTGCCCATTGCAGGCAGTGGGCAGGCCTGACCTTGCCGGGGCTCATGACCCCGTAGCGCTTTTGTTACTTGAATGTTTAGCTGAGCCTGTTCTTGATGGAGCTACTACTGTAACGCCGAACTCACAAACAGAGCTGTAAATAGGCCCTGGAAGCATGTGCTTAAGCCTTTTTTGCTGATTTTTAAAAAGACGGTGTAGAGCACAGGGGACTGACTGTAGTCATGATAAGCTGACTCAAGACTGTGGGGTCGGGGGTGGGGGGTCTTAGACATGGAAGGCCCACACTGCACTTGGCAGGGGCCTCTAATATATACGTGGGGGGGGGGGGGGGGGGGGGCAGAGGACGTGACATGTCCGTGTTAAGTCTCGTGGCTGACCAGCTGGGGTGCTTGGATGATTTCTGCTTGGTTAGCAATGGATGCAAGAACCACGCCCCCCTCTCTTTTGGTCCTAAATAGCCAGTTCCTGTTGAGAGTGGAGTTATTGCAAGGAAGCTACCGCCACTGCTTGAAAGCCGGTGAAGGACGGGCCAGGGCCCACGTCCCGAGGGCTGCCAGGTGGCCTGGTAGCAGAGCAGTTTCTAGAGCATGCTGAGCACTCCCCCCACTGCTGTCCACCCTCCACCCCCAGCCAGCATCACTTGGCATAGGCTTTGCTAGAAACACCAGCGCCTGTGGCTGCTACCTTTATCGGAAACCCAGCTGGCCCAGGAAAGAGGAAATCATGTTTTTTGTTTGTTGTTGTATTTAATACGTTCTGCACTGGAGGGGCAGGGGAGGGGGCTTTGAGGGTCCCCCCTCCTCCTTTTCACACATTAGTTTCCTTTTTCTCTGAGCAGCACCCACCTGCTGGGTATTGGACTTCACTTTTCCCCGTGGGTCACCTAGGAGAGTCTCCTGACCCTGCTTGAAGAGCTCCAAGGGAATGAGCACCCAGGAGAGGCCCCCGAACGGCGGCGTGACAGCCCACCCTTAGTGGATCCCCGGGAGGGCGCACGGCAGGGGCAGTGAGTTTCACGTTAAGCACAGGGTCTTCATGGTGGCTCTCAGTCAGGCCAGCACCCCCACGGCCTGCATCTTCAAGGCGTCTCTTGTGTACATGTCAGTGAACTCGCAGAGTTCATTAATCCCACCACCATAAGCACACTCTCCACTGTTGTGATGAAAATACGGCCTGTGTCGGCACCCTTGGTCATAAACCAGTGGCCAGCGTGGGCTTTTCACGGAGCACCGGTCAGGCTGACGGCAGGCAGCTCCTCTGGGTTCACCCAAGTCTCTAACGAGCATGTTGAACTAATCATCTTCTTCCTGGAACCCCAAGGAGGGAGCTGAGGGAACACTTCATCTTAGCAGCATACCCTTAAATTGGGGGTCAAACATGAAGAATTAGCTTGGGAGTTGGGATTAGAGTAGCTGGTAGTCTGAGGAGCCCCGGTAAGGCAGCTGGGCTTTGGCACAGGAGAGATGTCCCTGGCCCCTAAAACGGGGGTGGCTGAACCTAAGAATCAGGCCAGAGACCCTGAGAGGGCCCGTGGACCAGAGGGGGCCGGCACCTTCAAAGGTGCCCCAGGGATGATCAGGGAGAAGGCTGGTTTTCTGATAAAGGACCCTTGAGACCAACATGGAAGGAGCAGGGATGTCTGATCCATTCCACTCACATCTCAGAACTTCCAGGCTTTCTACCTCGACTTTCCGCAGCCAGCAGCACGCACCCAGGCTGCCTTCACCTGGGGAACCCAGGACCCCAGGCTGACCCCGAACGTGATCACTTAACTGTCAGACTTGCCCTGAGGTTTTAACCGGCGCCGCCGGTGAAGTTCTGTTTTTGACATGACGAACCTTCACTTTCTCCCAGGTCTTGCTCCTGGAGGTTCCCTCATCCCGCCTACACCCTGGTTGCCAGGGGCAACGTCTTTGCCGGGTCAGGGTCCCAGCGCACAGCGCCGTGGGGGGGGGGGACACCATCGGTGGGGGTCTCTGCGAGGCAAGTGGGAGTGCCTGGAGAGGCAGCGAACAGCCATGCAAGAGCGCTCACTGTTCCTGTTGATCGATGGCTGCTTTTTTTAGCGATGACGCCAGGGCCACACGCTCACATGGCTTAGTGAAGTTATGACCTCTCACGGAATTCTTTCTGAATGGCCCAGCTGTTGTGTTCTGGTCTTCTGACGGGTCAGTCAGGAATCAGCCTTTCATCCCGCATGTCATCACAGAAGCAACAGTCGGGGAGTGGGGAGGGAACTCTTTGACACTGAGCCACGAAAATCCGGACTAACTTTTCAGATGTTCAAATGGGCTATGCTACTGTTTCGGTCTCAAAGCTACCAAGTTTGTGCAATAAGTGGAAGGGATGTCATCCCTGTTCAATAAACGCTGAATGACATTCAAGCTGATTTTCTAGACCACTGAGAAAATCTTTATTTACAATAAATTTCAATAAAATTTGCATAAATATATTCCCAATGTACAGTTTTCACCTCTGATTTCTTCATGTCCTTTTAAAAGTTAGTCTGTCCTGTTCTCATTGCTCCTTTCGGACGCCAGCGTGGAGCTGCTGTTGGAAGGCGGGAGGCTGCTGCCTGGTAGCCGGGGGGGACCCGGAGGCTCGGGGTGGTCAGAGGCGGCCTCTCGGGGGGGCGGGAGGGCTGCGGCTCCGTCCTTGCCCTCCAGCTTCCGCTCCATGGTTGCCACCAGGATCTTGAGCCACGTGTTCTCGGTGAGGAGGTTCTCCGAGGCGTCGGCCAGCTCCTGGAGCTTCCGGGCCACCTCCTGGAGCTCGTGGGTTTTCTGCTCGTACAGGGCCTGCAGCTGCTCGCTGTGCCGCTGGAGCAGGCTGTGCTGCTTCTCCAGGGTCTGCTTCTGCCGAAGCAGCCGGTGCTCGTCCCTGCGAGCGCTGGACAGCTGGGCCTCCACCTGCACCTGCGCCTGCTGGAGGGTGCTGATTTCCGCCCTCAGCTTCTGGATCTCTCTCTCCAAGTGGGAGATGTGCCCCTGCTGGAAGACTGCCTCGCTCTGAAGACACTCTTTGGTAGGAGGGTTAGCTAAGTTCTGGGGGGCGGAAGCGGGGTCTGAGTGATGCAGAATGAACCTCAGCAGATTAGGAAGGGTGATGGGAAGGTCTTCGGGGTATTTCACACTGCGGTCCTTTCTGGAGACAAAGGGAAAGGGGTCAAAGGTGAGAGTCCCGTCAACATTCTTAGTCCAAAGCACACTGCTACCGAAGGCCGGGCTTTCCACCAGGAGACATGCCGAGGATTTTACTTAATGAAAGTCAGCAAGGAAAATGTTCTCTGGGCAAAAACTTCTCTACAAAGCTGAGGATGTCCCATATGCTCGTTCTGTAATTAAGGTGGCTTATCTCAAGTATGTGTCTTCCTAAGGACAAAGAACCCAGTTTCTGATAACCACCTTGGGAGAAAGACTAGAAGCTCCCGGGCCCAAGCCTTGAGCCAGGGATGGAGGGCACCGGCAACATGTAGGCGAAGTGGCCTTCGCAAGCTCTGAGAGGCCCAGTGGCGTGTAAGGAAGGATGTCCTGGGGCAGGACATCACCTGCGTCACTCTGCGGCTGTCAACAGCACGTGATGCAATCGGAAAGACCGCACACTCAGCCAGATTTCTTCAGCCAACATGTATCACACATTATTCAAGGCAGGAGTTCTTAACTGGGGTAACTATAAGCCCCTAGGGGCATCTGGCAACATCTGGAGTCATTTTTATTACCACAGTGGAGGAGGTATCACTAAAGCCTGACCCCTGACAAAAAGACCAACCAAGGGACTCCGAGAAATTAAGGCTGCCCCACCCTGAGAACACAGAATAAGGAAGGAAAGTGACGTATGAATGGGGCTCCCCCAAAGCTCTGTCACAAGTCCTGATGTAGAAAATTCCTTTCTAGAAGTTGTCATTTAACTGTCTGATGACCAACATTTCTACCACATACAGGCCCCAGAGCCATCTGTTGGGCAGACTCACGAGGCTGCAGCTCACGGTTCTGAGCGTCCACACAGGTGGCCCCTCTGTGCCCTTGCACTGCCTCGTCTGTAAAAGGGGTGGTAAGAGCATTGTTGCTCTCACGGGACTGCTGTATGGCTGACACCAATTAATCTGAACGCTGAGTGTTAGCCGAAAAACAATCATCTGATGCCTTAAAAAACCAACCAAGAGGAGCGCCTGAGTGGCTCGGTTGTTAAGCATCTAACTTCAGCTCAGGTCATGATCCCAGGGTCCTGGGATCAAGCCCCACATCGGGCTCTCTGCTCAGCAGGAAGCCTGCTTCTCCCTTGCCACTCTCCCTGCTTGTGTTCCCTCTCTCACTGTGTCTCTATCAAATAAAATCTTAAAAAAGAAAAAAAAAAAACCCAACCAAGAAACCATTCGTTAAAAGCTTACACACCCTCTCCACACACAAAGCCAGTGGTCAAATATCTAAGAAAAGACAAAAAGTGTTCTACTGATGGATAGCTCTTTCCCAAGGAAATAAAAATCACAGGGAAATTAAAATCACACATGCACCATTTTATACACTTACGGAGACTTTCGGATACGTGGAACAGTCAAACATCTGGAGTAAGTATATAGCCACACCCTCCTTTAAAGCAGGTTTTTTCATCTGGAGAAGCTTGCTTCGAGTTGGGGCCTCCCAGCCTTTCAACAGACAACTGAAAACCTGGCCCATATGAGGCGCGGGCGGGACGGACGAGCAGAGGCCGGCTCTGCCGCTGAGCCATGCAGCGCAAACCTGGTCTCTTAGGACAGAGGAACTTAACTCCCCGGGAGAGAGCAGCCCAGGTGCCTTAGCATGTGTGCAGACGTTTCCAGGGCCGAGAACGACCCCTGTCAGCACGCTATCCTGGAGTCCTGTCCCAGAGCCATCTCTGTGAAGCTACCTACAGGGTGTGCTGACCAGCTTTCCGACTTTCTAGAAGTAGCAAGAACGCAAGGTATGAACAAACTTTCCAGAAAGGAATCATGTGGGAAGTGGAGCTGTAAAAGGCCCTGCGGTAGGAGTCCGCTCTAAATTCACTAGGAGCGCGTTCATGCCTCTAGCACCTAAACTGCTAGATATGAACATGAAGAACAGGGTGTAAGGCCTCTACTCTATCTAAAGAAGGGGGTAGGAGAGTGGGGGCGGGTGGGCTGCTCCCCTCCCAGGCCCACACTACAGTAAGCCACTGCACCCCAGGATGTCCTCAGCCAGGCCTGGCCAGAGCACCCGACTTCCACAACGTGACGCAGAGCGGAGCGAGCAGAGCGGCTCTAAGACACTCCCGCACAGGAGAGCCGGGCCTGCCAGGGGGCACACCACGGGGAGGACAAGCCGTTCCGTGTGGTTTCTCTCGTTCACGACTATAAAATATCTGCTCACCGGAGACCAGCTGCGAAGCAAACAAGCAGCATCCCTCCCATCACCGGTAATTCTCCTCCTAAGTAACTGTCAGGATCTTGACACATCCCCTACTTACTGCACACATTTTAACCTAGTGGCATGAGCAGACTTCTATTTCATCGGAACCCATACAGTCTCTTCACTAAAAATAACCTAAGCACACACATCGTGAAAAAGGCCTTTTCCATTTCCTCTCTTGTGAGCGGTCAAAGCCTGCCCTTGGCCCATTTACGCCCTCTGAGCACGCCAACACTCAACTTGGACCAGCTGACAAGGAGCTTACTGCACTTCTGACAACTCTTTATTTTTAGGAAATAAGAAAAATTCCATTCCTGAGCAGTAAGGCTTTCGTTTCCCAAGCTCTGCGTGTTCACAAAGAGCGGGACACTCTCCTCACATCCGGTATGTACCTTCTAGACTTTTCAGGGATGCGGAGCTGCAGGGAGCACCCACGCTCATCCCACAGTGACCGCCTCCGCCGGCTTTCAGACAAAAGCTTCGTCCCCCACACGGCCCGACTCAGCCTCCCAAACACACAATTGTCTGTCTCTTTCAATGCGCACTCCCGAGTTCTAGCTGCTGAGAACGTCTCCATGCAAAGGCTCGTGCTGGGTGTTAGGACTTTACCACCTTCCCAAACTATGTTTGAAATTCCAAAACCATGCTTCATTGAACTTCGTGCCTGACCTCCACCCCACACAGATGAAATTGTTAGGATTACCGCCCGGGATCCCTTGAACGTGTGGCACTTTAAATGCTTCTTAGAAGGAAAGAGGTTCATCACGACAGTTAACAGAACAGGATGAGTCACACTCCGTTTTTAGTGTGTGATGTGACAGGACCCTACCACCCCAGGAAGTATTCCAGCAAAAATTCCTTGACATTAAGAGGAAAAAACAAGGAAATGATTCAATCTCTAGGAAGGAAGCACTCTCCTGGAGACACAGAAAGTATGGCAGTGGCTACAATGAACGGAAGAAGTGAGCGCAGGAGATGAGAACAGGAGACATCACATGCGGGACTTAGGAACCTCACTGAAATAATCCTGCAAATGCTTCCCCCTGGAAAGATACCGTCAGAGCCGCATGACTGGTCCCCGAGGACCCATTCTTTTATCAACAAAAGGGAATCTTTTTTTAAACAGGGAAAGTACATCTGGTTTATCAAGCTTTCAAAGGCCAAGAGTTAATTTCCCTTTTAGCGAAATATCCACATCCAACATATACTAATTGCCAAGTCAAGCCGTCCCCTTTGCTTATGTCCCATCCCTGTCTGCTGGGCTTTCAAGGTAGCTGCTGTCATCACCGGAAGTTGGAGTCTGCTTAGACAAATGTGAAGACGTCAAAGTGACAGCCCCAGGGCAGATATTCACAGAAGTCTGCACACTTGGGGAGAAGGCTCCTTGAATCCCAGGAATGGGGTACGGTGGGGAGGAGAGTCTCCATTTCCAACTTGCACAAGAGGGACAAGGTAGTCTTCAGCAGGACCCAGCAGAAAATGACACATGTGAAAGCCTGGGGCAGGCAGGGCCTGAGATCCGGGGGCTCAACAATGAGCGCCTGTCCTGCCCCCCACCGTGAATGTGGGTCTTTGCTTTCCACCCACTGTAGGTTCTTATGGTCAAGAAGGCAAACAAGTTCTGATGGCCACATTCATATGCGTGAGAACACACACTCTGTGAGGGGCAAAGTTCTTACCAAAACCACATCTGAGCTTGTGACCCCAAAGCCCTTTTATCCTTGGTCCCCAAGGGCGCATTATTTGAACAATATATTTTATTCAAAACAGTTTAGTAATAGGTAACAATTTGCATTTCACTTCTGTGAAGTACCTTAAACACATGTCATTTTCGGCGAAAGAATCCCATCTGCCCAAATATAGAAAAAAATCAGCTTTACCTGTTGCAGGGAAAAAATAAGATAGTGGGAAGACGGTCAGCCATAACTTCCCAAGGAAGGTCGTTCTGAGACACATCAATCCTGGCAAAGGGAAAGATGAGAAAAAGTAAAGGATCAGCCCAAGACACTCCAACCTGAAATAACCTTCTCTGAGAATAGAAGAGCCCGGAACATTTTGTGGCCACACTGACCAGCCCCTCTTAGTGGGTACAAGACCAACGCAAACTGGTTGCAATTCAGGCAAGAAGAACCAATGCTTCCAGAACATGCCACTTTCCACTTCACTTGTGGAGTGGAAGTGACACGTCATGAGAGTAAAAATGAGCTTCCCAAAAAAACCAGTACAAAACAAAATGCCTCACTGACACCTCAGGAGCAGTCCACCCACCTGATGGGGCCTGGTCAAGTACTTTAATCCCTGAATCAGCTCTGGAAAAAGGAAATCACTGTGCAAAATACATCAAGCCTCTGAAGACATAAGAAAGCTGGAAAATAAAGACTACACTCTATTTTATATTTATATTTTGTGAATCTGGACGGGGCCACAAAACCTTTATTTTTTTAACAGATTTTAATTTTCTAACACAGAAAATGATACCTTTGCTCAATTACCCACCCTGTGCTTTATTAATATTGAAAGACACAGCGGTCCCTCCTGCAGCCCGCACTCGGCTAAGTGCAGCAGCCCCCCACCCCAGCCCGCAGGGATCGCTCAGGCGGTGCAGAAGCAAAAAAAAAAACCAAAAAAAAAAAACACAAAAAAATCCTAGAAGGAGGGAGCAGACCGTGTAGGTCCACTTGGCCAGGTGGCTCCGATGTCCATCATCACAAACAATGCATATAAAAGATGGCAATTTTTTGAATCATTAACTTGACAGAAGTTTCTAGAAAGTATAATGGGGGTTAGGAATGAATCAGTGCCATGCATTTGTCCAGAAGGATGGCCGAATTATAATGGTTTTAAACAACTGAACAAAATGGCACTCCTGCCTCTGCCTGGGACAGCCCACATAAAATGTCAGAGTCCCATTTTTTAAACAAGTAACACTGAACGCTTTCGTTATCATCAAATACTTTTCTTCTCCTGAGTTTTACTTCAAAAAAGCAAGTACAATTGAAAGAAAAACATTATCATTAACATCCACTGGGCTGGTCGGGACCTTCTTTCTGGGATTCGCATTCAGGCTTGGTGTGCAAACCTCCACGATGTGAAGAGCAGCGCTCAGACATTTCATATGCGACTCCTTTCAATTAATGATGTGAAAAGCATTGTTCTAATAAATGGGTCAATATCCCATCACACTGGAAGCCCCAATGTACTTAGCTGTTGCTTTCCTGCTACAATGACTGGCTCAGCTCCTCTCCAAGTCCTAGTTCCTTAATTCCCCAAAGTGAAATTAACTGAGGCAAAACTGTGTAACCATTCTTGTACTTTCCTACAAATGTTGCTAACATGCTTTCCAAAAAGGTTACACCCATTTCAAGAGCTAGGTCTGCCATTGCCAACTTCACTTCATCAACACAAGATGCTGTCACTTAAAAGCAACTGTTAGTAAGTGTAAATGATACTCTGTTATTGTTCTAATTTACATTTATTAGACTGTCATCTCCACACTTAAGTTTATTTATACTCTCCTCCTCCAGAAGAAACCTACCCAAGTCTTTTCTTCCCCCAGGAGTCCCTCCCAGCTGTGACTCCCCCTGCCCCCCAGATGGTTTTTCACTGTGGTAAAATACACACAAAATGTCCCAGCCTGACTACGTCCGAGCCCAAAGCTGGCAGTGGTAAGTGCACTCATAATGGGGTGCAGCCATCCCCATCACCCAGCTCCACAACCATTTCTTCATCCTGCAAAACAGAGACTCTATCCATTCAAGAGCCCCCCACTCGCCACCACACCGACCATCTACTTTCTGACTCTGACTTCACAACCTGGCAATCACACAGCAGGTGTCTTTTTTTTTTTTTTTTTTTGGAAGATTTTATTTGAGAGAGAGAGAATGTGTGAACACAAGCAGGGGCAGGCAGGGGCGGGGGCGAAGCAGACTCCCCCCTGAGCAGGGAGCACTGAACCAGGCTTGATTCCAGGATCCTGAGATCATGACCTGAGCTAAAGGCAGATGCTGAACCGACTGAGCCCTCCACCCCCTCCCAGCGCCCATGCCCTTTTGTATCTCTGTACTTCATTTAGGACTGAGTCCTCAAGGTTCAACCACGCTGTAGCAGGTGTCAGAATGTTCCTCTTTTCAAGACTAAAAAACATTCCCCTGTGCAGACAGACCACATTCTCCTCTCCGCACTTCCTTAAACCTTTGTTCCTTCTCAGGGTCTGGAGTATGAGCACCTGATTCTGAGTCCTGGTCCCTCACTTACAGGCTGTGTGACTCTGGGCAAATTACCTACCCTCTCTGTGACTCAGTTGCCTCCTCAGTAAAAAGAGATCCTAAGACCTGCTTCACGGAGTGCTCCAGCAAGCAGGCCGGGTTAACATGTATACAGAGAAATCTCACGGCACACAGCAGCTCCTCAAATCTGGTTCTAACCACCACTTACAGCAGATCCAGTGGGTGAAACACAGATGCTGTAAAATATAGCTACTGTTCTTTTTTAAAGCCTACTTTCCTCATTTCTCTCACTGAGCCCTTTCCTAGTGGAATCTGTTCGTCTTTAATTATTTTTTGTAACTGCTTCACTTTGCAAAGTTTCCATCTCTCAAAGGAACAAGCAAACCCAGCATTCTTTGTTATTCTATTCTGTCCTATGATTTAATCTTTTATGTTTAATTCTGTCTGGAAGGCTGAAGTCTAAACAAGCCCTGCCCCAAACAGTTTAGTACCTTTTCCAAAAATTCTTCATTTGATGCTTGTTTTTTACAAAACAAGGATTTAAAAATTGTTTTGCTTAGTACAGAGGCCACATCCAGTTGCCCACAAAATCAAAAAACTAGAACACATAGATATCAACCAATCCTTCCTCCTAATTTCAAGAGTGAGGAGGGAAACCAGACCTGGCGGAGAGATTTGCTCCAGGTCCCAGGGCCGGTTGGCAGCACATCGGGCACTGGGCCCCCTTCCCCTGTGCCAAGGCCACAGCGCATGGAAGTCGGTGGAAGTCGGTGGGCACCATTCCCATGCTGTTCTGGAGAGTCGGCCAATGCGGGGGTTGTCTTAGCAACCAGGTCAGCGCTGCTCCCACACTCACCCTCCCTGAATTCAATCAGGGCTAAACACACTCGACACCACGGAAAGAACACTCAGAACGCATCAGGAAAGCTTCGGTCTCAATGAGGTTTTGCTCATGGCTTCAAACTGACAGTTCAATCGCAGCAAGCCTTACCCAAGGTTAACGAACAGCGGGCAGACCCTTGCAAACCATATGGCTAGGCCGTAAGGAGGGAAGACGGGCACAGGCCCGAAGCACCGCAGGCTCCCTTACCTCGCCACAGTGAATGTATCCGTCGGCAGGAGGCGAGCGAACTGGATAAAGACATGATTGAGGGATAGACAGAAGCCGCACCACGGAGCGTAATAAAGCAGCAAAACGTCCTGGGGGAGGGAAAGATGGCTGTTAGTGGCCCTAGGAAGTGGGCTCACATCCTCACTGTGCTCAGAACCCAGCAGGCATTCAAGAAATGCTGCTTATGCACCAATTATGAAAATTTTCATTTTTAGATCTTTCCAATTATGTGCTTTAAGGACTTTTTGCAGTTAGAAAACCAGCATGTAACTCATGCGTGTTGTGGGAGAAGACTGCCATGTGATTAACCTGCATATCAAACCTGAAGGCTCACCCCACAACCGCGGCTCTGGGGACATTTCAATAGGGAGCGATGGTGTGATTTCTGCCTCTCCCCTGATTCCATACCTGTTTTTGGAGGACCACTTCCCAAAAGGTATCAGTTGTCACTTCAGTGATTAGATGCTGAGAAGGGAACTGGGCAGAGTCACTTCCAATGAGATGCCTTTTCAAGGGACTGTAGAGAACGCTGAAGTTTTGAATAAAAGACTCTAAAAATAAAGAGAAAATGAGATCAGCTCTTCGCCAAGTATGGAGAGAGTAGCTGGCCTACTTTTAGGCTACATTTAAAAAACCGGGCTGGCTTCACAGGCTTACATTTTTAACACTTCACCTGCAGGTAAAACCCTGATCACAGCTGCCCGGCGCGGCACCGTGTGTAGCTCCGAGAGGACCCCCCAGACAGCGATTACTTAGGTAACAAAATGCTATGCAGTGTCAGGTGCTCTGGTATTTACAGTCTAGGAATTCTCTTTTTTTTGCTCACGGGATCGGTCCACAGATAAGACACCCGAGACTGCAAAGATCATCATGCCACAATCTTTAAGAGATTTCAGCCTACAATCCCAAGACCTCTGAACACCACTACAAAGACAGCTACTACGCAAGCGGCCGCTAGTGGACAGGTGTCTCTCGTGCTCATTAATTCAAGGACAGGGAGCTATGGAGCTGTGGTCTTTGTTTATTCGAGTTCTTCAAGTTTCCTTCTTGAAAGTTTAGGGAAAAGAGCTCAATTATATTTAGTGGGAAAACCTATAAATGAAACCCACATGCAATCCAAACACCTAACTTGACCCGACAGCTTTCCCTTCCCCATAAACTCCACTGTCCTCAGACTGCTTGGTTGTCTGTCCGAAGCAGGACGATCGGCTGCGTTCTCCCTTCTTTCTCCTTCTTCTAACTCTCTCCATCTTGAGGTCCTGATCAACACCGATGTGTTCCACACAGGGAGGAGGAAGTGTGAAGGGTGGCACACACATACTAAAGACAGGTCACCGTCGGCATCGGAGTGACTTACTTGGCTAAGTTTCTGAAACTTAAAACCAAAAATTCTCTCCTCATGCGAACAAACCCTAAATCCCTAAACTGGCCCAGAGAAGCTGACTGAAGAGTCAACTCTGCAAACCAACGACACACAGGCATTTTTTAATGAGGACCCTTCAAATGTCACCAACTATAGGACAAAAAAAACCTGCGCTAGATGTATGTGGCAGAGTAGATACAGAAGATCACAAGAAATCTGAAGAAGCCCTCTTTGGGAAGACCCTAAATTCAAACTGAACATCATTATGGGCTCACTGAATGCTAAGTATATTACTGAATGGAATTATAAAGTCCAATGAACATCCCTCTAAAAACAGGCTTGTTTCACTTTAAGAAAACTCGGGGAGGGGGTGGTGCCTGGGTGGCTCAGTCCTCAGTCTGAGGACTGCCTTCCGCCCAGGTCATGATCTCAGGGTCCTGATCTCAGGGTCCTGGGATGGAGCCCAGCATCGGGATCCCTGCTCAGTGGGGAGCCTGCTTCTCCCTCTCCTCACCCCCACCCCCCAGCTTGTGCTCTCTCTTGCTATCGCTAGTAAGCAAATAAAAAAACCTTAAAAAAAAAAAAAAAAGGAACAGAAAGAAAACTTGGTCTACCAAAATGTAACTTTAGAAAACACAAATCAAGGGGCGCCTGGGTGGCTCAGTGGGTTAAAATCTCTGCCTTCGGCTCAGGTCATGATCCCAGGGTCCTGGGATCGAACCCCACATCAGGCTCTCTGCTTAGCTGGAAGCATGCTTTCCCCTCTCTCTCTCTACTTGCCTCTCTGCCTACTTGTGATCTCGGTCTGTCAAATAAATAAATAAAATCTTAAAAAAAAAAAAAAGAGAAAACACAAATCAGGAACAATTTGTAGTATCGATACAGAATGCAGTTCAGAGAGGGAGTGGTCACAGGGCTCCTCTGAACACTTAAGAGCATCACATTTATAATATATAATTTGACATTAAGTAAATCAACATTTACATAAGCTTCTCCAAAAGTGTCCAATAACAGAAACAAGCGTCACCTGGGCTTAAACGAAGACGCTAACAGGACTATTATTTAGGGGTCTTTGAGTTTCCTCTTGCCTTCACACCCTCTAAAACTTGGAAATAAAAGGTTTCCCTCCCTACGGAACTCCTCCTGTCTCCACCTGGCAAACACTGACTTTCCCTGTGTCTCCACTGAGGCTGAACTAACACGGCTTTTGAATTCTCACTGCCTTGCACGGACATCAAGGATGTCAGCAAAGCCCTGGGAACGGGACAGCGGCGGTTAGTTCACTGCTGGCACCAAGCGCCAAGGGCAAGTTCGCGACGCTTTCCCGGAACGGACCTCCCCACCCCCAAAGTGGTTCCTGCTGGTTTGCAACAGACACTTGTTTACCGCACTTGACACTTGTCTGTTACAATCTAGGCACCAAGGTCAGAGCCGCATTTTTCAAGGAGGCCAAAACAGCAACCGAGCAAACTGGGTCTGTCGGCCTTGATACCTGTACATCCAGACCTGAGACCAAAGGGAGGGCAGGTGGTTCTACGCCTCACCGCTTCCTGTTTAAGCTCTTTTAGAATGGCGCTGCCGTCGGGGTCCCGTTCATCAGCTCCCCGGGACGCTCCCAGCACAACAGCTCTCCACCCCACTGCCCTTCCTGCAGCCAGGGGCCCACCCCACACAGCTCCCTCCCACTCAGAAACGGGACAGGCACTGCCCATCTGGAACGTTGGGCTCCTATCTCCCCCAGGGGTTACATGACAAACTTATCCCAAATGGGGAGTTAGGAAGTTTCTGTTCCCTCTAATAGACAAAATTAGCTTCTTTTAAAATGGTGACCAAACACAGTCTAAAGATTTCAAGTGAGCTACAGAACTGACATCCCCCCAGGACCAAAGGTACTGAGATCCCTGGATAAAAGTTACCGGTATTAAGTTAAGCAATACTCATTATGTTTGGGGAAGGAAACTGCCCACAGTACCTAGGGTGAGCTTCCTAAGGGCTTGTTTTGGATCCAAGATATAGTGAGACTCTTCTTTCACATCAACAATTGCGGCAAACTCCTTCACCCGAGTGGCGCTCGGAGCCCCCAGCCTCTCTGCATATAACCAAAATAAATTTGAATCCAAAAGGTAGATGTTCAGGGTCTTGTTGGTCCTGCAGCTCAGGCCTGTGAAGTCTGTGCTACTCACGTCCACTTCAGGAAAGAGATACCTGTTCTCCTCAATGTGAGGAACGGAGCCTGGGGGGTCGGCCTCACATTTCTTCTCAAGGGAAGAAAGCGCGATGGTTGGGGTTTCAAAGACACTGTGTCCAGCATCAATGAAGCCCGTCACGGCCCTGTTTATAGTCCTGCAACATGCAGTGTAGTAGCTGAAGGGGCTGTAGGAACTCAGAAAATTGCTGCACTCGATGCTGCCCGACGCCACGTGATAAAAGGTCTGCTCCTTGAGGTAGAAAGAATCCAGAGCTGCCGCCATCTCGAAAAAGCTGCACTGCGGCATGCCCACCGAGCTGGGCCGGACGCCCCCCGTGGTCTGATTGACACACAGCTCACAGACGTTGTGGGTCCTGGAGACGGAGTGCCAGTGGGGCAGCACCACGGTGTTACAGCAGGGGGACGCCGTGATCAGCGGTGGCTCCGGCAGCTGCGCGGGGGGTTCAGGCGCCAGAGGCCTGAACACCGGGCCGTCCACTCGCCGCAGGTGCTGCAGGAGCCGCTCCACCACCTGGTCCCCATGACAGTTGTTGTACTCCAAGGCCACTTCGGTGATCTGAAACACAGGGCAGAGCCATGAGAGGCGCGACCATGGCGGAAGGAGAGACCCGCGGCCGTTGGGTCCGGAGAGCACCCTGGCCTGATTCACAAGAAGCCCCAGCCGGCTCTTCCTCTCCATGCATCCAAGAGGAAACCATTACACCAAGAGCTATTCAGGAAGAGGCTTGGATCATCTTTCAGAATCATGTCACTCTCTTAACAGTGAGCCAACTGTGTAGAGCAGGAGGGGGCCTCAGAGGCAGACGTCTCCGTCCACCACGAGACAAGAGCCAAGCTCCCCCTGCGACATACCTCGAGGCTGAGGGGCCGGGGACACATTTTAAATCTCAGCTCCCAGGTGAGTGCATTTGCCTTCAGAGCTTGGTAACTCTCCCACAGGGATGACGTCTTCTTTCTTCACCCTCACTAACGGTCTGAACACGTCCCAAACACCTAATGAGTGGGTCACAGTATTTCAAGCAAACCTGTTTCCAAATAAACACCCACCTCACAGGAGGCTTCAAATTCAACCTGCTCCAAACCACACTCATCCATCCTGCCTTCCCCCATAACTTCCCCCTCCCCCTGTAGAAATCAGCATCACAGAGTGGGAACGGCTATCCCTCAAGCCCACCACCTTGGACTTCAGCAACAAAGCCGGCCCCTTCCTGCGAGTCCCCATGGCCTCAGTTCAGGCCCTCAGTTGTCACAGAACACCACAGCATGCTCTCCCCCTGCTTGCTTGGCCTCCACACTGTCACTATTGATTTTAAAATTACCACCCTAAGCACAGCACTCTTCTGCCGAATGACATTCGATGGATCCCTACTACCCAGAGGATACAACTTAACATAGTCTGGCCTGCATCTGCCTTTCCCATGTCGCCCCACCCTCTTTAGAGAAGGCCGGGCCAGGACCTCCTCCATCCGACACACCTCAGTAATGCCCCCCAGGCCGAGCAGCAGGGTGGCTGCTTCAGGAGAGCTAACGCCCCTGCACCCTACCTCACCTGGGAGCTCTGCTCTGTATCTTCAGGGCCCCAAAGCCCTTCCCACAGACTCACAAGTGCCTGCTGAGACAGCCCTCCTCCCCACAAGCTTACAGACCCTCATGGGTTGGGACCCTGCTGGATTTCTCCCGTTCTCCCCAGAGCCAGGGACAGAACAAATGCCCAAGATCTGGGGAATGAATGGCATCTCGGGGTAACACACATCCCCACGTCCTGGGGAGAGTAACCGCTTTCCCCTCAGGTCAGTATCAGCCTGATTAGATTGACATTTCATTCTGTTTCCAAACTGAACACCTTTCACTACCCTCGCCAGTTTCATAAGAAAAACAAGCAAGTCATTATAATCCAAAGGCATTTACTCCATCCACTCTCTGAAACAGAATCACGTGCTAACTTGGATCAAATCTTGCCACTTAGTTAAAAGGTGTTAAGTCACTCGGGATTTTGTTTCATGAAAGTGTGTGTGTGTGTGTGTGTGTGTGTGTACGTGTGTACGCGTGTGTGTGCGCAAAGCCATTTAATGAGTACTTTTCCAATTTAAAAAAAAAAATCCCAATTCTATATATGGTATTCATAGAGATTGTTAATTCAAAACATATGCCTTTGTACAGAAAAATGAACGGAATAGTTCTCAGGCATAAAAAAAGACTACTTAAGAAGATAAACCAGTGTTTCATTTTCTTTCCTCCCCCCACCCCCACCACAAAAACATCTCAGGCCTTTGTGGCTAAGGCTCTGACAGCACACCACACTCACAAGGTCAAGCCCGTATGATTCACAGGAGCCCAGCGGCCCTCTGGCCCCATCTGGGCACTGCCTGACACCCAAAGACACCATGGATTACCATTCCCACCGTGCCCCCTGCTCCCCCCCAAAAAATCCCACAAAAATTCAAGTATTTACGCATTTTTTTTTTACAAAAAGTCCAAGTAGGAGTATATTTACGACAGCAGGAGTCCTTAAAAGGTCTTCTCAGCTCTTTTCACAACATTGCTCATAAGCAAAGAAGCCATATAAAGGATCTTTAATTGAAGAAACTATTTTGTATAGAGTAATGCTCTTAAAACGTAAGGAATTCTTATTTTTCTTTTATAAACTGAACTGGGTTTTACTTTTATGCCTCTTTCACACACTGGGCAGTTGTGGAAAGGCGAGTCCAGTTTCGTCTTCACATGTGAATCGCCGGAGGCCATACTTCATCTCCCATGAACTAATAAGGAAAATCTGGCACATAATTTTAAATGTACTGTAAATGCTTTCTTCCATCTTCTTTCATCAGACAAATGTTTAAGTCAGAACAAGACAACCATGACTTTGCCCATGAGGCTCGCACACCGTGAGCCCCTCAGAGCAGCGCTACGAGAGGCACACGGACTCCTCACTGGCCGCAGGGAGCAGCTCTGCAGAGACGCAGCGGTCAGTGGCCTGACGCTGTGGTCTCCCGCGGGTGGGGGGCGTGAGTGTGTGTCAGCAGCTGCCGGGCCCAGACCGGGGCTCACAGCGGAGCCAGCACACGGCTGTCCTCTGGTTGGTCCCCACCACACTCCCCACTATGGCTGCCTCAAAATCCATTGCCTGGCAAGCTCCAGTGCTACTAACCTCATGTGACGCTGACCTCTCTCCACCACGTCAGCTTCCTCAACCGCCTGCCCCAACTGGGCCTCCAGGTGGGCATGGGAAAAAGGCTTAAAGCGTAAACTCTCCTGTGGTTGAGGAGCTGATGAGTTCAGAACCCAGCCTGGGAATGTCCAGGTGCGGTGTTCAGGCGACCCAAGCCTGAGGGCTTCCTTACCTCTCTGCTCACACACCCCACTTCCCATCCCCACCAGCGCCCAAGTTCTGGACTTTACTACTTCCCACAGTCCTGGAGCAGTGCTGCCTGGAAAACGGGAATCATGGGAACACACAGCTCAGCTGACATCTCTCCTCTGTCAGGGAGACTGTGCTAGCCACGATTAACCCTAAAGTCCTCAAAGTCACACCCAACCGCCTCTCCTGTTCAGGCTTCCAATCTGGGTCTTCTCCAGGCGGCCTCTCTGGGGGCCACGCAACCCACACTACTTCCTAACACCAAACCTGCAGGAACCTCCCCACCACCGTGCCTCTGCTCAGGCTGTGCCTTCTCTTATGTTTCCCTCAACCCATCCACATCCTGGCCACCCCGAAAGTCTGTCCCCCATACCTGCCCCGCCCACGGCCTCTCCTAATCTCGCCCCTGGCTGCCCTTAGCTTTCTGGGACACAGCCCTCTCTCCTCCAATTCCTCCTGAGCGGGGCCTGGGGCTGACCTTCCTCCACCTTGCATTAATTAAAAGCAAGCTGCAGCCGCCCTCCTGAACAAGCCTCTGAGATCGTGAGAGTAAGGCTGCCTCTTCTCCATCTTTCTCACCCACGGCTCCCTGACACAGTGCTCCATAAACATTTGCTAAAATGACCTCAAAGGAAGAGGGAAATGTACTGCACAGAACACTTTACTTGGCTAAGTAATTCATAATACTGCTGAGATGCCATCTGGTTTTCAACAATCTCAACCATACAGCGAGGTTCGGGGAATCCACTCATCTTGCAGAGACACTCTGAGCTCAGAGGAAAGGAGACACAGGAACAAAGTGGTTTAACAAAAAAAAAAAAGAAGAAGAAGGAGGAGGAGGAGGAGGAGGAGGAGGCCTGGCCAGAGATGGAGGAGTTAGGACAGAGAAGAGAGACGCTAAGCAAGGGAAAAAGGCAGGAAAGCTAGCGTCCTCCTGCCAGAGGCCCAAATCCAACAACCCCCTAAACAGGGGAACTGGGCTCCAGTCACAAAACACTACCCCACCCAGGTCCCTGACTTGCCCAAATTAGACAAGACAGAATTCTCCACAAAGAAATTTTTTAAAAGTCAAAGTAAAAACCCCAAACTGTAGCTGTGCCTTGGATGAAAACCCCACCTTTCCTACAAAGAGCCTTAAGGCCCTTAAGAGTAGATACAGTAAAAGCCTAGGAAATTTGGAGAGTGTCTTAGTTCATAAAATATTTGCGTAGTGAAGATTTTCTTCAGGAAGTAAGTCTTATTACTTCAAGTCATCCCTAATCAGAGGAAAAGAAACAAAAGCTATTTCATTTCTCTCCTTTCTTCCTCGAAGCCAGGGTAGCAGCAGGGATAACAACTTTCACAATGAGGCTCCAGAGTATCAAAGTCAGGGGCCTGGCTGGGGAAGATCCCCGAGCCCCTGTCGCCTCCAGGCAGACCACCAGGCTGACACAGAGAGGCCCGGGGAGAGACCGTGTCTGGTTAGCCAGGCCAGTGCTACACCGGCTGTCCGAAATTGGTTTGGGCCCATTAAGGGATCCTTGAGGGAACAAAAAAATAAAACCCCCCAGTAAATCCAATTTAGCAATCCCAGGCACACTCTGGTAATTGTTATTACTCTCTCTAAGTGCCTCCAAATGATCCGCATATAAAACAAACTCACACCCGGAGAGAGTAAGCGCACCAGCTGAAACAGGAAAAGCAGGAGGGGCAGACTCCTGACAGCTCTGTCTCTGGAAACCGCTCTGCTTATCTTCACAACAGGAAAGGCTTAGAGAAACAAGGGAGCCCAGTATCCCCACTGTCGTTCCCTGGCTGCCGGGTTGAGCGTGGCCAGGGCTTGCTGTCAGGCCCCCTCACCCGACAACGGCGTCTCCAAGGCCACACTGAACCCTGCCTGTGCTGCTCTCCATCCCCTCTATCCCACTCCCCCAGTGGGTCATGGCAGGACGAGAGACATCTGGTCCTACCCTGGGGAGGCGCAGCTTGGTCATGCCTGTTCGCGCCGACTCCCCCAGACCTGAGCAGCTGTCAGTCAATGTGGCCAGCGAGGCCACAGTGGATCCCATCTGTGGCACACACTCTTCTCCTGCCCATTTATGGGAGGGAGTAACGCCACAGAAATGCAGCTGCCCCTCCTTGCAGGCTCTTGGATCCTGGTGGAAATCACTCTGAACGTGGAGTGAGACACCCGAGTTCATGAGGTTTTCCTGCTCCCTAGGAGATACCTTTTAACATCAGGACTCTTACCTCATCTATTAAAGGGTGGCTTTCGGCTAAAGGATTGAAAGGTACAAACACAAGAAGCGCGGGCCCCTTCTTCAGTTCATTGTTCAGCAGGAGGCTCTTGCCGCCGTGCGGCCGCAGCCATCGGAGGAGCGCCTCTCGATTTTCTAAGGCCCACTTATGGATGTTCTCTGCGGTGTAGTTGACCGCCTCCCTGGGAAAGACCTGCGAAGGACAACACAAGGAGGGCTGAAGGCAGGGCAGGCTCAAGAGGCCCCGACCACCCCACCGCCGCCCAGGTGCACGTAAGACGACTCCGGGCCGTCTCCTCTGCCCCGGCTCCTCCAGTCAGCGTTTCCTCCCAAGCGGCTGTGAAGAGCACGGGCAGCTCAGAGGGGTGACTCTCAGGTCACAGAGCCCTCCTGCTCCCTTCAGCAGACGCCTCAACCAAGGGAGAACTCTCCCAATCTGCTGCTGGCAACAATGGCCTCTTCCACCCTGGCCAAGGGGAGCTATTACATTTTAGTGGGTTCTTACAAAAGAATTATTGTAACAGGATCGATGAATACCCAAGGGAATGGAAGTTATAAAGGTGAGGATCACTTAGATTTTTACGCTGGTTCCTCAAAACCTGGCTCATCGTGGTGGGAGAAGATATTCCTTAGGGCAGAGCTCTGAATCTGCATCTTCCGGTCACCCGTACCCCAGTGACTAGAGGAACACCTAGCACACAGCAGAACTCAGCAAATACTTGAACGAATCCACGCATGACCTAGAACTTGTACAAAGCCACAGATCACCCTTACGTGTATGGAATGAAGCAAAGAGACACGTAGATTTTGTGCTTTGCTTAAAGTAGGTCAACATAAAATTATGTTTGAAATTCCAATATGGATCACTGGGTTTCAAATGAAACTCCCCAAAAAAAGTGCTTCGGAGGGTTCCACAAAATGAGATCTTTTATACTTTCCAAAACTGAGAATTAAATTGCCTCGTGACAAGGATGTCCACCGGTTTTATTTGTTAAAATACTGGAATCCCAATAGTATTTCATTTGATAAAAGGAATTCTGGGGCACCTAGGTGGCTCAGTGGGTTGAGCCTCTGCCTTGGGCTCAGATCATGATCTCAGGGTCCTGGGATCAAGTCCCTCCTCGGGCTCTCTGCTCGACAGGGAACCTGCTTTCCCTCTCTCTCTGCCTGCCTCTCTGTCCACTTGTGATCTCTCTCTCTCTGTGTCAAATAAATAAAATCTTTAAAAAAATAAAAAAAAAAACTATTAAAAGGAATTCTGCTCAACCAACCACCAACCTTCAGAACTACAGACCTGAAGCAGTAAGCCCAGTGCGTCTACCAGGGCCATTCCCACAGCCCCAGCTTCTCTCTGTTTTATGCTCCTTCCTCAGTGCCCTCCCCTCTCAACCCATACGATGTATGTTGGTTGTACAGCATGCTACAGGAGGAGGATGGAGGAAAAAGACCAACAGTGAAAGCAGAGGAAGTAAGAAGCAGCTCAGAGGCACGAGGAGGGTGGGCAGGTGGTGGAGAAACCAGCGAAGCAGTGACTCTCCAAGTGGGCACGGCAGGAGTTTGAAAAAACAAACTCAGACATCATAAACACATTTCTATTTGGAAAACAACAAAAATACATCTGACTGCTGGAATACAAATTACATGATATACAGCATGGCATCTGGGCTCCTAGGGATTTGCAGAAGCCAGGGGGACTGACAACCAAAGAGGCGCCCCGGAGAGGGCCTAACAGTCCTCCCGCAGGCATGAAACTTGCACGTCGAGTCAAGGGGAGCCCAGGTTCAGTGGGCTAGGTACACGGGTTACACAGATACTGGTCTTCACTAAACCTGTAAGTCACACACACTGTCAGTGACATTAGAGACAGAATATACTTAAAAAAATAAACTCAGTGATAGGACTGAAGCAGCAGCAATATAGCAGAGGCAAAGGGCTATGCGGGGCACAGGTCAGCAGCTCAGAAAGAGCTGAGCTGGGGCTGCTTCACTGAAAGCAAACGAAATCAGGGAGCAAAGACAATGGAAAACCAAGGCTCTGTGGGGTGAGAAGCCATCAGCTTCTCGCTGTGACTTAACAAGAACCTCAAAATCCGTTTCATCAGCTAAGGAGAAGAGCATGCCACGTGATTACTCCTGATGAATGGAACAGATGAACGAAGAACATCGCCTAATGGAAGCTTCACCTCTGAGAACATTGCGCCCACAGTAACAATTCTCCAACAGAATCATCCTGCGATTTCATCCGAGGAGGAAAACAAACAAGGCTGCACCAAAGTCGAAGAATAAAAACAAAGAATCGCTAGATGTTACAGCTGAGAGCCCTCTAACGCATGGGTTTGCACACGGGGACGCGGGCTCTGGCGTGGGGTTGCAGGAACTCTCAATTTGCATATAAAAATCACATACACTTTCCTAGGGAGAGTGCCCATAGATCTTATCCAATTCTCAAAGAAGTCCATGACCTAAACAAGGTTAAGAACCACTGCACTAATATAAATGTGATTTCAAAATACTTACAAGAGATGTGTTGAAATGTCTATGTAAATACACACTTCCAGATTGTACTAAGGATACCAGTTTCGCAAGATGTTTATTTGTGATAACCCCAAATCGTATTGTTCCTAGGTAATCTGAAACAGAAAATTTGCCTTTATTAAAGAAAAAGCCTATGCCTTAAAACAACCACAAAATGCAATGATCAAGTCTTGATGCACAAATCCCCAGAGCAACGCTCTTTTTGGTCACCTAGCCTAGGCAGAAAAGGAGCTGGAGAACCCTCCTCCCGAAACAGACCTCACATATCCTCCTGAGTAACAACCCTGACAGTCCTGCGCACTGTGTCTGCCTGCGATGATCTGACCTCATCTCCTGTGACCCCGTGCCCCTCTCTCATTTGCCCCACTGTGGAGCCTAGGGGTAGGTTGCTCCATCTGGACACTTGCACTGCTGGCTCCTCACCATTCAGACCTCAGCTCCAGCCCCACCTTCTCCAAGAAGCCTTCCCTGACCACCCCACCTTAAGGCAAATACTCCGACGACAGAGTCCATAAGGGGAAACTAGGGCTTCCTCTCCGCTCAAGCACTCTCTCTACCTTTACTCTATTTTTTAACAGCACTTATTAACATCTACATAATCTTGTTGATTTACTTTAATTTTCTTTGGTCCAACTTCCTTTTAACTTCTGTGAAGTTAGAAACCTTATTTATTGCTATTACCCCAGCACCTATCACAGTGGCCAGGCATCTAAGAGATCAATAAATATTGGTTAAGTGAATGAACCTAAAATGTACAAAGAACTCACACAAATTAATAAGAAAAAAAAAGCAGTTAAACAATGCGCAAACCACAGAAGAAAAGTAAAAGGCTAATAATTACATGAAAATACACTCAACCACCCTATTTCAGAAGAAAGCAAATTAAAACAAAGTACCTCTCTTTACCTCAAACTGCCCCAAATTTGAGACACAGGAAATACCAACTATAGGTGACCAGCAGAGAAAGGGCACTCTGAAGTGACGCTGGTGGGACACGTAAAGTGGCAGCCACTCAGGGGAGCAAGGGGTTGCACGCTCACAGTGAGACGTGGGCAGAGGCTGCGGCCCAAACCCCACCGTGAGTCCGTGCCTGTGCGCCCAAGGTCACCCGTATGGACAGTCACCAAGAAAACTCTGCAGGTGTTCAAAACGGTGGAGTGGGGCTACTATTTGACATGAACATTTTTCCTGACACATGTGAGGGGAAAAAGCAAACTAAAGAAAGGTAAAGTGTATCTTTTTATGTTAAAAAAAAAAGAAAACTCACACCTTATAAAACAACATACTTTTTTTTCCTACAGGCATGTATGTTTAAAAAAAAAGTATAAGAAAAAAAAAAGTATAAGGACCCTGAAAGGATAATAAAAATAGTTTTGTGTGGGGGAGAGAGATCAAAAGCGACCTTATCCTTAAGTGTATCCTTAAGTCTTTCCCTCAAGGAGCAAATGTAGTATGTGTAGCTAAAAATTGACTAAAATATCTAGTATTAGAGGCGAGTGGATAAGATGGTATAGGAAACGGTACCTTCTTTCCTAGCTCCATTCTGTTTTATTAGATGTTAAATAAGATACCGGTTACAGAACACACCAAGCTCCCAGCTTCATCCTCCGAGCCCCACTCTGCAGCAGGGGTGTGACCTTGCTCTCGGAGGAGCTGCCGGCGGGGAGGGCACCATGTGGCAATCCCTGACACCACCTTTCATTCAAATCTGACTAGTTTAATATGACACAAAACCAAAGAAACACAGGAAGGATAACCTAGAAACAACAGAGACTGGTTACACATGGGGGGCAGGGGCAAAGATGGGAAAGGAAAGGAAATGGGGTCGGGAGAACAGGGGTGAGGCAGCCTGACTCTCCTCCGGGGACACCTCTTCCTATGGAGGCTCTCAGAGCTTCAGCGATGTTTCACATCCGTCACAAACTCACAAACCAAAATCATTAAACCAACCAAGATGTGGGGGAGCCTAATGTGGAACACAAGCATTAACAAACAAGCTTCACTGTCACACCACAGAGGAGGGGTGGAGGGTTGGAGGGCTGGAGGGCTGGAGGGTGGGGAGAAAGAGCTGAGTAATTGGAACAGTATCTTGACTGAGTATCATAAAACTAAGGACAACGAGAGCCAGATTCTCAGGGCTGGGTAGAAAAAGTTACACATTACGAGAGGAGAGCTATATGCTGGTGTTAGATTGGAATCAGAGGAAATTAATATAAACTTAGGGCTTTTCACGCACACACACACACACAGATAACAGAAAGACAGCCTCTCATCTATGTCTACATGTGGGGTAAATACATACATGTCCTGGCTCTACCTGCTCAAAGGGCCTACAAGTCGTAACACCTGACACCAACCAGCACACCCAGCACCCTGATCTTGGTTTCTACATGCCTTTCCTCCATAAAAGAAACCAGGGCTCCCTGGAGAAGAGGCTGATTCCAGAGGTGGGGCAAGGGAAGTACAAAAGGAGGCGGGCACACCTTAGTGTCACAATAAAGGACGGAGCATCTTCAAAGGGTATAGGAACCGACCCAAGATGCTCTAATGGCAAAAGCTGGAGCTCTTTGAGAAACAAAGTGAACAGGGTGCCTGGGTGGCTCAGTTGGTTAAGCGACTGCCTTCAGCTCAGGCCATGATCCTGGAGTCCTGGGATCGAGTCTCGCATCGGGCTCCCAGCTCCACGGGGAGTCTGCTTCTCCCTCTGACCTTCTCCTCGCTCATGCTCTCTCTCACTGTCTCTCTCTCTCTCTCTCTCTCTCAAATAAATAAATAAATAAATAAAACTTAAAAAAAAAAAGTGAACAATGACCAGCCTTCCTACAAAATGTCAAGGTCACGCAAAACATGGGAAGACTACGGAGTTGTCACCAGTTGGAGGAGACTAAGGAGGGGGAAAAAAAAGAACTAAATGTGATGTGGGATCCCAGATTGGATCCCGGAACAGAAAAGAAAGACATTAGTGAAGACACTGGCAAAATTCAAACAAGGCCTGTGGTTCAGTTAATGATACTGTACCGATGGTAATGTCTTAGTTTTGACCAAAGTACCGTCACAAATGGTTGGTTACATAACATCTTAACACTGGGGGAAGCAAGGTGAAAGAAGAAAACGGAGGAAATCCCTGTCCTATTTCTGCAACTTTTCTACAAGTATAAAATTAGCTCAAAATTTGAATTTAAAAAATGGTATAACATGTAAGTTCAGATCCCAAAGCCTTCAGAAGAAAAAGCAGGACATAAGACAGGGTTCGAAGGCACCACTCTCTCCAGAAGAAGGCTGAATCTTGGTGGACCGCCACCGCTAAAAAGAGAGGAGGAGAAGGAAAAGCAGCCAGTGAGGAAATGCATTTGACAGTTGGCCAATGTCACCAACATGACTTATCAGAGCAGAAAATAAAAAGTGACAGGCTGATCCTAAAGTTGAAAGGGCCCTGTTCAAAAACCTGCTTAACTACATTAAGAATGGACAGCCTGCTGCACACAGTGGATTCGAACATGCCCAAACACATCACAATTTTAAAACTTCACTTTTCACATACAGAGATATCTACGAAATTCACACATCTATTTTAAGTTCCTGCATGTAGCGGAAATCTTGCTAGAAGAAGCCACTTAAATTTGCACTGTCATGTGTACAAGGGGTACTTGAATTAGCAGAGGAAGTTTATACTGTAAGAAAGACACAAAAAATAACACCTCTCACCTCCACATCCAGAACATTCTCTGTTAAGCAGGGCTCCAAGGCTATCTACAGTAGGGGTCTCTGCCATTTCTAAAATGAATAATTTAATCCTAAAAGTAATAAAGCTTCAACATTTTAATTAAGGACTTTGAATTTGTTGAATTAAAAATGAATTTGGGGGACGACTGGGTGGCTCAGTCAGCTAAGCATCTGCCTTCAGCTCGGTCGTGATCCCCGAGTCCTGGGATCGGGTCCCACATCGGGCCCCTTGCTCAGCAGGGAGCCTGCTTCTCCCTCTGCCTGCCGCGGCCCCTATTTCTGTGCTCTCGCTCTCTCTCCTCTCTGATAGATAAATAAAAATCTTAAAACAATAAAACTAAATAAAAATTAAAATTAATTTAGAATAATGCTTTCTCCTTCCCCACCAAAATAAGGTCCAACAACGACATACGTGATCCTGTTCAATTAATTTTTTTTTTGAAATCTCAATAAACTCTTGTTAGCCAGGTAACTGGCCAGTTACAAGTGTCTATTAACCATCCAGTGAAAAGAGTTACAAAGACCGCTGCCTAATGTACCAAGACCAGGAGAGAACATCAGGGGAAAGGCAGTAGTTATAACCAGTTTCTGTAGCTGGTCAGACGGGAAACTAACAAGGGCGAGGTGAGCACAGCATGAACACTGGCGTATGGGCCATTTGCTGCAAAAGGTGCTGAACCTTGGGATCTGGGTCCCTCCGTGACAAGGCAGCCCACCACACACGTAGCCACCATCTATGCCCACAGGGCATCACGGCATCACAGCAGAATGTCACTACTTGCGTGCTCTGAATAATAAAGAAGCTCGCTCCAATCTTAATCTTATCTACTTTCTGTACTTCTGCATATTTCACCCCTGGCTGTCTTTGAGGGTGGGGTTCTTCTCCACCACTAACCAAAAGCTCCACCCCTGCTTCCCACACTCCCCCTAGGTAACATAGCTTCTGTTGACCTTCCGTACAGCGCCGTCACTGTTCACCTCGTTGCAACCACCAAAGGCGCATCCAGAATGGAAGAATCTGAAATTCCATCTGGTTTCTACGCAGATGCATCTGGCTCTCTCTGGTTTCACATCAAGATTTTTCTTTTGGGGCTTTTGCTTAACATTTTAATATCAGACTATTTTATTTTGCTTAAATCTAATTTTTAACATCAAGACTTCAGTTTACTGTTGAGGTAAAACACACACATACTGAGGCAATATATCAACTACCTCTGGGAGGCAAAATGTTAACATTCTCAAACATTCCAGAAAGAGTAACAATAGTTTCTTTGGTTAGGAAGGAGAACAGATTTTCAACTGTAGGGCGCCTGGGCGGCTGAGTCGGTTGAGCGTCTAACTCTCGATTTAGGATGAGGTGAAGAGATGGAGCCCCGAGTTGGGTTCCACACTCAGCATGGAGTCTGCTTAAAAATCTGTCTCTCCGGGTGCCTGGGTGGCTCAGTGGGTTAAGCCTCTGCCTTCGGCTCAGGTCATGATCTTAGCATCCTGGGATTGAGTCCTGCATCGGGCTCTCTGCTCAGCAGAGAGCCTGCTTCCCCCTCTCTCTCTGCCTGTTTCTCTGCCTACTTGTGATTTCTCTCTCTGTGTGTCAAATAAATAAATAAAATATTAAAAAAAAAAAAAAAAAAAAAAAGAATCTGTCTCTCCCTCTGCCCCTTCCCCTGACCTGGCTCGCACATGTGCGCACACACTCTCCCCTGCTCTCCCTCTCTCAAAACCAAAAACAACAACAACAACAAAAATAAATAATAATAATAATAATAATGATAATAATAAAAATAATAAATTTGCCTGAAGCAAAATTACACAACTCACACTCACCACCTAACATATAACCAGGAACACAAATCTGAAACCATTTAACTCAGGGATGTGTTTGCAGGAGACTCAGTAGCTCAAGAAAAAATTGCTTTATCCTGGAACACTTGGATAATGAAGCCTATGTCGGTAGCTGCACGGTCCTATATGGTAGCCACCAACAACATACAGCTAATGAGCACTGTTACTGTGATTGGGGGGGGGGGGCGGTGCGCCTGGGTGGCTCAGTCCTTAAGCATCTGCCTTTGGCTCAGGTCCTGATCCCAGGGTGCTGGGATCGAGTCCCACATCAGGTGCTCTGCTCTGTGGGGAGCCTGCTTCTCCCTCTCCCACTCCCCATGCTTATTCCATCTCTCACTGTTGTCTCTGTCAAATAAATAAATAAAACCTATAAAAAACAAAAAAGTGTGTCCCCTCCTGTCCTTCAGAAAGGAAAAGGTGGGTCCCTAGACCTTGTGCCTGTAAGTATAAACTGCTGAGCTTCTGAAATTAATTCTCTCTCAGAGGCCTGAAGCTAACAGCACTCGGTGTACTGCAAAGTAAGATGGTCGAGGATACACTGGAATAAGGACAAGAAATGGTGCAGCTGAGCAGTGCGGAAATTTCTGTAACAGAACTAGCCATGTGCTAGCCAGGAGACATCCGTGAGCTAATCTCTCAAGGACCAGGGAACAAAATGGAGTATCAGGTCAAGACAAATTCTCATGAAGAGAACTGCTAATAAAAAGCATGATACTTCAAAACTAAATACCACTGGGTTAAGTCATGTGGCTTCTAATCAGCATGACTAAGAAGTCCCGGATGCCCGGGGAAAACATCTTTCACTTCTTTACCCTGGGAAGTAGTGACATTTCCAAAAAGCAAACCTGCATCGTGGCACCCTCCTGGAAACAATCCTCATTTTACTCTACACTCTGCCATTCTTACGAACTTCTGCTTTCCCACTCTTCTTTCCTAAGTTTTAGACGAGGCAGAAAAAGGGAAACAACACGATTACACAAAAAGGGTAACCACCCCTCTCCCACGTTACTTAGCATCATGCAGTGATTCGTAATTCTTCAGTGGATGACTTCCCACATTTCCAATACGAAATACATTCACCCAGATGAAAAAAACCTTCAAAGAAATGTAATAGACCACAGAAAAGTTTGTTTCCAATACATGAACTATAGCAATTACTTGCATTTTGTTACCAGAACTGTGACTCTGAGGTTTGTGTATTTTCAACATTCTTAATATAAAGCACAAAGCAATTATCCAGAAACTTTTCCGGCATTTGGGCATCACAGAGAAAAACATGCACATTCTGGTCCTGGCCACAACACTGCTAAATGCTAAGGAAACACAGAATTCCTTCACTAGGACTTTTAATTTCTTGTGAATCAGGGAGGAGAGAAATGTAGTTCCAAATACATCATTTTAGGGGAACACAAACCACAGAGTTAACCATGCACGGTCACTACACCAACGCAACAGTAAATCCCTCACGCCGCCCGCCATTTCACCAAAGCACAGTATGAAAATGATCAAGTACTTCTCTTGTGTGTATTTCGATCAAAAATTTTTTTTGTTTTTACACCTTCACGGAAGGAAAGACTTCAGCAAAGAAACCCATCCGTTTACAAATCCCTCCTCCATCCCCATTTAAGGCTGTTCTTAAGGTCTAACACAAAGGTAACACACTTTTTTTTTTTTCTCGCAAACAACCCTTAACAAATATAAAAGCAATTCTCAGCTCCCAGACCTACAAAAAAAGCCAAGGGCCAGTGCATTTTCAAACTGAAGTGTCTTTTAGAGGCGACTAGAGCACAGCTCCCTTATTTTCCAGACACAGAATCTGAAGACCAGTTGGAAGGGGTCATGGGTAGACCACCGTCAC